TACCTGTTCAACTACATCTTACTACTTTTCAAGCAAAAACGTCACAATCTACTAGGTTTTTAATCAAGAACAGGTGAGAATTTTCGATAACCGGGTCTACCGGAGCTGAAGCTCCACAAATGGTGATATATGTTTTGCTCTGTAAGAGAAACCGGTCCATGCTGAAAGGCAGAGACGCTCAGTTGAACAGCTTCATTGCTATCGGGACTCATCGGCAGTGCACGTCTCACGAATCTATGGGGAATCCTGAGCATACATCATCATCATCATCATCATCATCATCATCATCATCATCAACATCATCATTATCATCGACATGATACCAGTGTTTAACACCGAAGCTTCACTGCCTGAACCTACAAACCTCCGACTAGGAGTTGAAACAGTTAACCGTTTGGGCTCGAGCCATTATGGGTTGTCGGTGAATGTCACAATGTCTTATCTAATAAGTAAGTATTTGGACTGTTTTCGTTCGTCCTGGAATAGTTTGTTCCGCCTGCGTTGTTTTTGTATCCCACGGAACCGGGGGCATGGCACAAATGGTCGCTAACACCACACCAAAACTCTGGTTTGGGTTATCAGGCAAAATGTCGAACGCCTAAGCCGATTTTCGATGCGTGAGAAATAATAGCAGGTGTGTGAACTAAACAACCGGTGTTATTTCCTGTCCACCACACACCTGTAAGACTCCCACAAGCACAGACCTACATCACGAACTCAACAAGTACGAACATCTCGGAATGATCGATGGTTTGTTCCGAAGCTCACTTATCGACAAACAGATCCCAATGCATGAGAAAAATATTGGCTTTGTGTATTTGAGGGCTTGCGAATTTCACCGCTGTTAGTCAACTGTTTGATATGTCACATGCGAAGCGTCCAAAGATTTTAGGGCGTACATTTTTAGTGAAACAGGCGAGGGCCTATACCAGCAAAGCCAGATTTATTTGGTTTCACTTTGATAGCAGTCTGTTTTGGAAAGGAAAGCAGTTCCGCATATTGCTTTTTGCAGTTGGTCCCTAAAATGAAGGTTAGGACACCCACACCTAATAAAATGATTGAGAGTGTGTGCGCGTCTTAGATTCCGCAATGATGGTGCTTATATAGACACATTGTTTAGTAGGCGGGATAAGTGAGACTGTTTGTCCAAATTAAATCGCGTACAGATGAGAAATGCAATATTTTAGCGTCCTGCCCAACATTTTTGTGCATACCTAAGTAAAACAGCACAAACGGAACTTGAAAGTGAGTGTTGGGTGAAAGTTGACAAAATGAGAATGAAAACGGCAATTGTGAAGTAATCTTTGGTGTTTTCGGCGTAGCGTGTCTAATCTTTTCTTTCATCATGTCTCACGCTGATACAAATACCTAATCTCGTGTATCACTTTCTGAAATTAGATTGACCATCTTGATGACGCCCATTTTTACATTCACCCCTTGTATGCAATGCTGAAAGTTAGATGAGTAATACTTTGCAGCTGAGAGCCGACAACATGCCTACAGAAGTCTTCAGTTTGTGTTGGTGAATATTCGTAGATCCACTTATTTTTAAAAGGACCCCTGGATAAACATACATAATGAAATTTCAAAGCGATTGTAGGAGGGACATTACCTTTTTAATCTAGCTGGGATATCGATTACATTTTATGTTCATCCTCACAATGCGTCCGTTTTTTTCATTTCCTTTATTAACAGCCATAGAAATAGGTTGTTTGAATCACAAAAACATAACCCTTAACACACGTTTCAGCCTTCCAGGAAGATGACGTGAATATTGCAAGTTAATCTGATGATATGTCTGTACATATAACAGTATCTGATAGGAAGAAAGCACGCAGAAGCGTCAGTCTCTTACCGATTGCGTCTCATAACGACGTGATCGAGCGCTGGCTGGGTGTTTTGCCACAGTGTTTCGATAAACTATCATGTTCTGTACGTCAAATGAAACTGGTTACGTGATACAAAACACTGCCATTTTGCCCACCCTCGTTGAATTTCTCCGTCGAATTTTACCAACATCAATTCCAGCTTTGGTGCAAGTGAGTTATACAGTATTACACTGAACCTACCTTTGTACAATAAAATCATCCCAGTTATGCGGCGTACTTCGCAGGGCAACAGTTATTCCATTTTGCAGCAGTCGTTACTATTTTACCATCCCGCAAATCCGAAACAATTTAATAGTGATTAAAAATATGGGATGGAGAATATCAGCACTGGTCGACGTAACAAAGACTAATCTTATACCTATGATTCGATAAGCCAAACTATCACTTGAGCTATTCAATACCTATTTTGAAACGAAACTCAAACGTCTCAGGTTTCAGTCAAGTAAATTTTCATGAAGATACCTTTTGGTGCAATTCACCTAGAAAGATGTCTGCTTGGCTGACACACTGGCAGACCCACCAATGATCACAATTTCTCCTAAAGGACACTTTATAAATGGGTATTCAAATTTTTGTTGGGTTTGTCCGGATTCATTGGACAAAATGTACCTCTATGCAAGCACAGGTTGCCCAACCCCAGACTCTTTATGATAGATGAGTGCACTAGCTGGCACCTCCCCAGTACTACCCAGCACTAGCTGGGTAGAAATCCAGGAATGTCTTATCTTTTCTAGTCACATGGGAGTTATCCTCCGGACGCATTTGACTGAGGCCGCACAAACGCTCATATCAGAGAATTCGTTTGATTTCTGAGTTCCTTTTATCGGTTCCATCGTTTCGTTGCACATGAGAAAAAACAAATTTTCTGCTTGTTGAATCCTGTTGAGAATTTATTACAACTGCATGGTTGGCCTCCATAGCCCAGTACTGTACCTAATGATCACTTGGTAGTGATGCTGCTTGGGTACGCAGGCCATATCCATCTGTTACCAAAATGGCAATGCGTGGACCCGTTCCAGGACCTGACTGGGTGGGTTACCATTTTTATTCAAGCAGATGTTCCTCAATCAATTCTGTTAAAAAGTGTCAATAGTCATCGGATGCAAATATAATGCCGATGTTGCGCCGACTTTGAAACCTCTCTGTCTTTAACAGGCTTACAGAGCGGTTAGAATGATAATGTCTTTGAATCCCTGAATGAATGCACTATGGAAACGCTCGATATGCTGCATGACGTAGCCTCCTTATATTTAAAAGTGTGATCCTGAAATTCATTGTCTTATATTTAGAGGCATTTTGAATTGCTTTTTTAGCTGAAGTGAACTTTGAGTTTTTTGGATTAGAAATAATTCATGGTGATACTTT